ATACGACTTGAATTAGACTAAAGTGCGGTTTTATACCCCAAAGAAGCTTTAAGGTATATATACATATTCTTTATCACCATCTAGGCATATATCCATTTTTATTTAGATATGTGAAAGTGCATAGGCTTGGAAGGAATTTGGATCGACTTGATCCTATTAATAGTATCTGCTTTCTATATCATATATGTAAATGACTTTCAAAGAGTGCCTGGTTCAAACATTATAGAAAACTATTAAAATTAATTCAATTTACAAAATGAAAAAAATTTGAAAATTTCGAAAGTATTTTCATTACTTTTCCCAAAAAAAAAAACCTTTCCTTTTGCTAAAACTAGAAAGCTTGTGGAAATTATGAACATTTTGTTCATTTTAGCCAATTTTTTAACATTTAAAAAAAGTAATTTGTTTTGTGTTTATCAAATTGTACACGTCCGCCAGGGTATTTCAATTTTGGCTTTCCCCAAACGATCGAACGTTTGTGTTTAGCTTTATCCAAAATGACAATTTAATTAAATTCTTTGGAAATGCGTTCGCCTTTGTTGAGCTTCGCTTTGTTGTCTTATTACAATCCAATTTTGTGCAAAAGTCACAAATCGCAGCTCCCTTCCACAGCACGGCACATGTGTATATGGCCAACCTGAAATTTGGCCAGACTGACTGGCCCGAATGGCTATGCAGCTGCTCTGCCAGTTCCGCCCACCCCGCCCACCCCTGGCCTGCCGCTGGGGCTGAATTGAAATCAAAATCATAACATGTCAACACATTCACATATTGTAATGCAGAAAACCTACCAAAAATCATAAAAGTCAGGCATGGATTGTCAAGGGGGGGGGCGAAACAGAACTAAAAATACAAATGCAAATGAATGTGGCTGCAGGGGAAGGGGGCGGGGCGGGGACGAAAGCAGCGGGGCGCATTTCGCTGACCAGGTATGTCAGTTGCTGCTGCTAGCACATAAAAACTATGCAAAGAAATGTTGTGTGTGTGTGTGTGTGTGTGTGTGTGTGTATGTTAGTTTTTTGTGTGTTTGTTGGCGGTATAAAAACATAATAACAAAGTTGGCGCGTTGCTTTTATTGCCTTACGGCTGCATTTGGGTTTGTGGCTGTGCCGACAGTAAAAACTATTTGCACGCACACACACAAGCCAAGACCCACACCCACATGCACACACACACACACACACACACATGAGGCATGTTAACAAACAAAATGCCAATGGGCACAGATGCCATGGAGTGTTGTCATATCAGTGCTAAAGTTTGCCGCATGGCGCTGAAAAGTATGCACTGCCGCAGCTTGACGCTGAGGCGGGGCAGGGTGGGTTGGCTTGATGGTTTCTTTTTTAGTTGCAGCCACTGTTGCCACGGTTGACCTCTTGCAACTGCCAAGCCGCATTGTACCGCTGGCGTTTTCAAATTTCAAATTCAAATGCGAGTCAAAGACATAAAGCCCCACGTGGCGCCCCCTGCCGACCCGGCTGCACAATATTATTATTAGTGACTGGCCAGCTCCTGGGTTGGCCACACTCACTTACTCACTCGCAGCCGCTCGTTCGCTCTCTCCCCCTCTCTCTCTCTCTCTCTCTCTCTGTGCACCAGCAGGGCCACACAACAAGTGACAATAACAACAAACGGCGGCGGTCCTGCTTCATGGTCGCGCGCCAAATCGAAAATGAAGCAAAATTGCCAAAGATGCCACGTTTGGACAGCAACAGCTGCCAGCTTGCTAGACCTGGCAGCAGTTATACATACATACATGCATACATATGCTTTCCAGAGTGTGTATGTGTGCGCGTCTGTATGTGTGTGTGTCTGTGTGCTGACTGTGTTTGGTTAAATGGATTGTTTACTTTGATTACAAAAATATGGCAAATGTTTGCACGTTTCATGGCTCGCAGTGTGTGTGTGTGTGTGTGTGAATGTGTGTCTGTAGAGATGAGAAAACATCGTGTTTTAATTGACTCCATATTTAAATAGATGGTAGATAGATTGTCTATACTACCTGACCAACAGGTAACAAAGTGAAGTAAGAATAGGTCAGGATAACTGTGTCCTTAATTCAAGTTTTTGTTTTTTAAAACTCTTAACAGCCACATCGCTGCAATAAAGATACAACTTGGTATAGAGTACAATGTTTTTAGGTTGTTTTTACCTTTGCTTAAATTCTTGGCTCACCTTTAATAAAATACCTCATTTTCCCTTGACTGTAATCTCGGTCTACATAAATAGCTCTGTTGGCCGGACGGAATTTCATAAAACTATAGAAAGTATCGTGAAAATGATCAGTGTGGATAGTTTTGCAACACTGGTAGAAATATGTTTATGCATATTTATATCATATCTGCTACTTTCATTTCTTTTTTTCATATATGTATAAAGTCAAACATATATTTATCACGCGCTCATCTCCAATGCAACAATTGCAATCGCAGCGCCATTCGAACACGTGGGTCAAAGGGGGTGCTGTGGGGTAATCAGGGTTGCGACGGGGCACAAAAAGACAAATGCCGCTTGATGCTGCGCGCTTGTAAAATCCAAAAGCTAATATTATTGCAAAAATCTGCTGGTACACATTTGACTTTGGTTTATTTTTATGATATCTCAGTGCACACCCAGTCGGTCGCTTGTTTCGGGTCGGCTTTTTGCCATAGTGCGAGGGAATGCCAGGTGCAACAATAGAACCGGTGGGTCGCAATGAAGCGACTACATTTCAGTTAAAAGCTGAATAGCGAAGGGCACGACGGTATGAGATAGTTTTTATGACGTATTCGACTGTGGGCAATGTTTGAAGTGGGGCAATATTCAGGAAGCGGTCACAATAGTCTGATAAGAAGCAAGGTAGATATGTGATAAGAAAGGTGAACGAAGCAAGACTTAAAAAGAAAATGTGAACGCCCACGAAATGTTTGGAAACTATCAAATTTGTTTTTTAAAGAGCTTCAGTAGAAAAAATTGAAAGAGATAGCTAACTGATCAGATTATATCAAAACCCTAATGGAATATTGAAAAAACTATCCCAAGAGCAAAAGATCATAAGGAACAACAAATAACATATTGTTAAATTTAATGCCAAGCCAAACTTATTTTCGTTAAGCTAAACAGGTGTAGATAACTGAAAACATGTTATTTACACGCTTAAGCTTTGTTTCCTGATTATAGCCCAACATTTTAATTTCGAACGTTTAAAAGCGAATTTATAACAGAAATTGATTAAATTGCGTAAATGGCCCAGACCAATTGGCTAAATCATTTATCACACGGTATTCGCGCGCTCACATCATGCACACAATCCACCCAACCGCCCACTTTTTTGCTCTCTCCCAGCCCTTTTTTCACATCAGATTGACCCGCATATTTGCATTCATTCAATGTGTGCACTGGCAAAATTAATTTTCAAATAATAGAAGCGAACTAGTGTTGTTGACGTGAAGATACCCTGTATAGAAAGCTGATGGGCTTTTATGGAAACATTTGTGCTTATAAGGTAGGAGGTAAAAAATGGGGCGTATTCCGTTTGCATTTCGTTTCGACTGTTTTTTCTTGAGCAACTGTTTTTCGTCAAGAGAGTTGACCTATAGGGTCTTCTATTGCTCTTACATACATTCGTCCAACTTTATATGCCCCCTTTCATGCACTTCATGGGCATAGGGTATGCAAAAAAAAAGAAGCGAAAAAAAGTAGAGTGAAATAACATTTTTATTAGCTTCTCTTTGTATGGTCCAACTGCTACAATCACTGCGTGCCGGAAGACAGCCAAACGGCCACGCCCACGCCAACGCCAACGCCCACAATGCCAAATAGTTGTACACTACAGCACTAGCATGTGTGCGTGTGTATGTGTGTGTGGGTGTGTATTTATTTTTAGTGAATTTTATTTTATTAATGCGAGTTTGTTTGCACAGCGCTGTAGCCCGGTGCCTTGGCCGCTGCCAGGATCTGTTTATGTGTGTGTGTGTGTGTGTGTGTGTGTGTGTGTGTGTGTGTGTGTGTGTATGTGTGTTTGTGTGTTTGTGCCCGGGTGGCCGCTTCGACGCTATTATGGCAGCTATTTGTTTGCGCACGCTGCCCCTCCCCTCCCACCTAGCCGCCCGCCCAGCCCGGATCCAAGCAGCAAGCGCCAGCGCGCTATAGCCTGAACGCCCCACAGTGGCTGGCTAAGGGGGCGTATACGCTACGCTCGTATAATTATTCTCGCGCTCGGCGGTCTGGCCGGAGAGGACCACATGTCGCTCATGATTAATTGAAAGTTTCTCTCAACTGTTTCGGTATGTTTGTCCTTTGTTTTTGGGGGCTTATTGCCAAACGCCATTGCCCATGGCCCGTGGCCCATGGCGTTTTGATAAATTGTCGCTGCCTTCAAATTTAAACAAATTTCTACGATTGTCGAGCGGCTTGCAATGCAAATGTCAACAAGAGTCCCAGCGACAGCTGCTGGACAGGATTAGCATATGTTTGCGCCAGAGCAATAACCTTTCACACTGAGCGAATTCCCTTCTTTCTTTTGGCTCGAAACTGAGCACTTAGACGAGGTTCTGGAGAGTTCTTCGTCAACGTGGACAACGTTTGTCTGATTTACAATAACAAGCGAAAAGTCGCTGGTTCAAATTCAGCTGTAATTGAACATTTTTACATTTAAACATCCGAGAATATGCGATGGACAGGCGCGTGTTGGACTTGGTTGCAATATTGATCATTGCACGCAGGCGACGCCGGGTAATTTCTATTACTATTTCATAGTCGCAGTTTCAGAGCTACTGCTCTGTGGTTACAGTTTTAAAGTTAACGACTGCAACTGCTGTGAGAAGATATGAGAAATTGGTCTGTACTTTTATCAGCCTTCTCTGAGCTAGTTGCCCTGGTTCAATACTCATTAATAGTGTGTCGAACATGCCCGACTTGTCGCAGATAAGATGCCACTTCAGTAGGAAACGCTATCAGTTGTTTAATGTTGGTGGCAGCACGAAGCCAGCACCACGCCAGAGCTGTGGGGCAGTGCCAAGATGTCCGAGCACAAGATCATACTGGAAGAGCAGCTGCATGATAGACTGGTCTCTGTGGTGGGGTCTACGGCAAAGAAACGGGATGAGCTGCATGTGTTTCTTGGGGGCGCTCGGCCCAGTGTCTATCGCCTGTCGCGGCGTCATCTTTTGATGTTTCTTCTCATCTGTGGCAGCTCCCTGACTTTGCTTTACGCCTACTGGGATGTCATGATGCTCAGTGCAATGGGTGCGGGAAGTGATCTGGAGCCAAAAATGTCCGCCGGCGAGCCGCTGGCATTGAAACTGGAGAAGGAGGTGCGTGTGCTCTGCTGGGTGCTGACCACGCCCAAGTATCACAAAACTCGGGCGGTGCACATACAGCGCACTTGGGGCAAGAGATGCAATAAAATCTACTTCATGACCTCGGAGCCAGATGATGAGCTGGAGACCATTGTGCTGACCAAGCCGGACAAGTACGAGGTTCTCTGGGGCAAGACAAAGGAGGCATTCACCTACATCTACGAGAACAAACTGGACGAGGCGGATTGGTTCATGAAGGCCGACGATGACACGTAAGTAAACTATTTAGTAAAGGAGTAAAGCAAAGTAAGCCTAAGCAAACCATTTAGTAAACCAATTAACTGAACCGTGGTTGTATACCGTACAGTATTTATATATTTTTGATCAGGTTGTCGGTACTAGCTAATTACTTTCTCTCTCTCTCTCTTTCTTATCCTCTATATGGTACTTCTTCAACCTCTTTATCTTTCTTCTCTCTTCCAAAGAAAGAATGAAAGAGAACTACACTGAGAAAGAGGCAGAGACTCTTGCCGCGAAGTATGCGTACTGTATGTGTATATTCTTGATCAGGCCGTCGGTGTTAGTTAAAAGTTTCATTTCAGTCTATTCGTCTGTACCCAGATAAATTATGTATTAGTTTTTCCCTTCTTTTGTCCAACTCTCTCTCTCTCTCTCTCTCTCTCTCTCTCTCTCTCAATTGACCTAAATATCGTTTTTCCATCCTATTTACTCTCTGTCTTTCTTCCTAGTTACTACTTAGCTCTTCTTCTCTTTTACTTTTTTTCAGTTTAGCTTTTCTTTGCGATTCTTAGTTGCTTATACAAAATTGTTATTATATTGTTGATTTAAGCTTGTAAACTAATGTTAACTACATTTGCAGATATGTATTTGTGGAGAATCTGCGCCACATGCTTTATCCTTACTCTCCGGACATGCCCATTCACTTTGGGTTCAACTACAAGCTTTTCAGCAGCCAGGAAAAGAATGCAGTAAGTACGAAATGAATTCTAGAATTTACATCATCATTAGATTTCTCTTTCTCCAATCATCGGTCTGTCTCTTTCTTTTTCGTTGCTGCACAGTCGTACATGTCTGGGGGCAGCGGCTATGTGCTCAGCCGAGAGGCGCTGCGTTTATTTGTGCACGGCCTGAATGACAGCAGCAAGTGCCGGCAGGAGGACGATCATGCCGAGGATGTGGAGGCGGGCGCTTGCCTCTTTCACTTGGGCGTGCCCGCGGGCGATTCGCGCGACTCAAAGCTGCGCAATCGCTTCTATCCGCTGGCGCCATACTCCCAACTTCTCTCCAAATACAATGGCATGGACTTCTGGCTTTTCAAATACGCCTATTACAATCCGCGAGCGGTAAGTCCATAACATAGACTACATCAGTTGTCCAATGGGCCTTCCTTCTTCAGTGCATGGACTGCCTTTCTAACTATCCGGTGGCCTTTCATTATGTGGCGCCTGAGGAACTCTATGAGTACGACTACCTGAACTATCAGTTTGAGCTCTTCGGGCGCACTCCGGTGGTGGAGCATCTGCCGGAAAAGATTGCACCCGGCCAGCTCTCTATACCCATATCCGACAATAGGTAATATAGGTTGACCTTTTTTCGGTTATCTCAGTTGCTCGAGCTAGTTCGCATTCTTGTTTTTCACTCTTGAACATCTAACATACATTTTTAAATTTATTTTAATTAAATTAGAGCAACTCGTGTGCTCAAACTTTCATATAAACATATGACAAGGGTTGAGAGTTACAATTTTGTACATTTTTCCAATATATACCAGTTGAGGTAATAGATGTACAGTATCTAGAAATTCCAACAATTTTTGAATATGGGAAATTCCGATTAACAACAAGATATCATAGGAATATCGGTAGTGTTATCGATAGCTTCGCGACACGCTCTTGCCTGTGACAGTGTGACCGATTAGCATGATTCATAACATTTGTAACTGATTAATGGCTAATCAACTAATTTCAAGTCTTTCAAGCGAACTTCATAAAAATTAAAAGCTTTCAAAGCTGACTTCTTTAAATATTCAATGTCTACCATGACGCCCTACGGCTAGCCTGGGTCTTAATTTACTTCTAATAAGACTCAAAGCCATAACATAATTGCAAAATAAACCAAACAATTGAAATAAGCCTTTTGTTTCCATTTAAAATCGAATTTTGTCCATCCTTTTTGTTACATATTGTGCCAAAGTAATGCCGAAAGTCAAATGGGGCTTGCACCAACATCTCTGGGCTTCTTTGGCCAAAAAATAAATGTGACTTTGTAAAATAAATTGGAATGCGACCCGGTGTTTGAAATGGCATCACACTGTGCTCGGCCAACTACATGCAGGACGACCAGTCCATTAGGAAGTAGCTCTGTGCAATGGTCATTAGGCGTTCTTATTAAGCTGTGTGGATGCAGCAGCAGCAACAAGCAGCTTGTGAGCTGTTGTCCAGGCAACAGGAGCTAAAAGAGCAACAGCAACAACCACAACAAAAACAGCAGCAGCAGCAACTGGAACTGGAATTGTATTCAAATGAAGTTAAGCAAGACGACCATAGCGTTGGGGATGATGAAGTTGCCTATGATAATGCTGGCCAAAGCCCGGAGCCAAAGCTGAGAGCAGTGTTGGCAACTGGCTCTAAAAACGATGCTAGCAACAGTGTTCAAAAAGGCTAAAAATATATATATTTAATTAGCAAGGAATAAGTTGACAATGTTTGCGCAGTTGCCCCTAAAGCAGCTGGAAAGGTTTACTTGCTGAAGCAAAACAACCAAAATTGTTCAAATGATGCTGCATTTGGCCTTTGTAGTGTTGGTCACAACTTTGTTAGTGCAAAGCTAGTGATGAGAAATTCGTAAACGTTATCGATAAACGATAGGCACAGCTAGTGCAGTACAGTGAAAATGCACGGTAAATAAAAAAATGGCTGGATCGACTTTTCAATAGCCAGCATTGCAGGCAGACGCATTGCAGGAAGACGCTGATGAACACCACAAATAACCGATTTTGGCTGGAAAATAGCTAAATTGACAGCACCGAAGCCGAATGCTAGCTGTCGGGGAGTGCGTGTGTGAGCAGACGCATTTGAAATTGCAAATTATGTTTTTGGCCATGGCCAAAACGTAGCGACGACAGTCAACAGTCAACGCTGCTGCCATTGCCAGTGGCCAGTTGAAGGAATTGTGGGTAATGGACGATTAACGATGTGCACGATGGAAGCTGCCTGCCAGCCCGGCGAGCTCTGCCGAGCTCTGCTGCCGTCTGATGACGGACTGCAGCGGCAGCATCAAGAGCTGGCGACTGTCTGCGCTGGCAACGGAGCTCTAATTATGCAAACTACCTGCTGTTACTCAATTAATCTTGATTACGTTTGTGTTATCCAAATATAATTATGTTGGTATTAATTACATTGGCCAAAGCGGCGGTGGCCAGAACTCCGCAGCCCAGCACTAGCCTAGGCGGCGGCTGCCTGGCAAGTTGGTCAATTTGTGCAGCGGAAATTGTCTGCTGCGCGCGTGTGTGTGTGTGCGTGTGTGTTTAAGCCCCTTGGCCTGGCACTAATAATAGCAACAATGCCTCGACCTCGGTATATCCGTGCCAACAACTCGATTGAGCCCACACGCCGTCGCCCCCCTCTACACACCACGCCACCGCCCACCACGATCAGCAGCGTGAACGCATTAGGGCAAAGTGTTTGGCATTAGAGCGCCAACATTGCGACCTCATCATAATCAATGGCTACATTTCACGTGACTTTCACTAGCGGCTAATTAGGCGCTCAGCCAGTTCGAGCCGAGTCGAGGCCAGGCAACGCCAAGGATAGCGTCAAATAACTGGGTAAGTGTGTGCACACCTTCTACAGTTTGGCCAAGTTTTGCTCTTCTATTAACCTTAACAGGAACTAGTATATGTGCATAAATACGAACATATGCATATGCATGTATTTGCCTGCTAACCTAACAACAATTTTCGATGAGTCGAAGTTCATCGCTTTGATTCGGTTCATGAACTTGGTTTTCCACCCAGTCTGAAGCAAGTTTGCGATTCGTATTATATTCTTTTAAGCAATAAATGTTTCGTTATTTATTGTATTATACAAAAACTCAAATTTGTTTTAAGTTTGGCAATAACATTTTCAATAATCCAAACCATTAATGACACGATTTTTTCGATATACAACAACTTGTAGGAAAACCCGATGTCGACTACTCCGAAACATCAATTTATTAAATGTCGATACTATGTTATTCTATGTGGAAATCGATAACCAATTTAAACCACTTTAAGCCAAATCATCTTTGAGAAAATATGACCTGTTTAAGGCTTAGGTTTCTTAACCCTGGATATTATTTTCACGGTTAAAAGAATATTGAAATTTCGAGATCAAAACAGTTTGGCTTAAAACCAAGTCTCAGTATCGTATTTTATTATTTATTATTATCTTGTTCCATATATTCATTATTATTATTAATTTTATAGAAGTGCTCGCTACACTATTTTAAACAAAGAGTTTTATTATGAACAAGGCAGAAACTTGGTCTTGTGGAGCAACTTTGGGCGGGAGCAGACTGGGCCTTATGAGGCGTAGTATTAAATTTTCAACTATTGCACTTAAACGTGAAATATTTTTTTCTTCTAAATATAAATTATTTACAATGGTTAGAAGTTATTTCTCCTCTCTTACAACTGGCGTCCGCTTACCTCGGCCGTTTCTAAGTATAAATATCATACAACAATTGCACACTTTAATGAAAAATATATGCATGCATATATGTATTTATTGGTTTTAACAACTGTGAGAAATATTTTAACTGCGACAGAGATTGCATTTACTTGCAAGCCTTTCAATTTTTCGTAGCCTTGCTTTTAGCAATTTTGTGTCAGGGAAAAGTCAATTTCATTTGATCGAAAGCGCATTTTCATTTTACAAGCTAGTTTGGAAAATATGCGTAAAATGAAAAATGCATTTGATAATCATTTTTGGGCTGCATCTTGCAATGCTTTCAATTAGTTTGATGTTTTTTTTAGTCACAGAATGGAAAACATCATCATTGATTCTAACCAAATGGAGTCAACTGCAGATGGTGCAGCGGGTCATTCAACCGAAAACTATGTCATGCAGTTATAGACTCAATGGAGAAATACAGCAAGAGTGCTGGGGGGAGGGGGGGGGGGTGGTTGTGTGTGTGGACAGGGGTTGGGGGCAAGGGCGGGTTACATAAATGAGAAGCGCTGTCGCATGTGTCATTTCGTCTTCTAATCGTTCAAGCGTCAATGCAGGCGATTTATTTGATTTGCTTTGAGCTTGTGTTAGTTAGTGTCTGTGTGTGTTGGTTGCTGTGTGTGTGTGTGTGTGTCTGTGTGCTTAAAAAATTTTTGCCTGAGTGTAGGTGACTCTGGGCCACACAAATCATTTTCAGTTTGTACAATTTTTATGTCAACTTGTGTGTGTTTTTTTTCATTTCGCCCCAGCTTGTTGTTGGCTGTGCCACTTTTGTTTAGCTGATTCACATGCACACACAGACACACAGGCACACTCACTTACACACACGCGCACACACCCAATCACACACAGCACACTTGCAATGCTGCTGCTCGGCTGCACTTCCGGATCTTTCGGCAGCACCGCCATTGACTGTTCAACCATGCAGCTGCACACAGACGCATACACACTCACGCTCCCACACACACAGACACTATTTCACAGTCACACACACACACACATACACACTCACTTGCCACATACTCACACACCCGAACAGTATCAGGTTCGCCGGCATATCCGGCCGTGTGCCAGGCATTGGACATTGCTGTTACTGGCAGCAGCCAACATCGCACAGTGGTTCGAAGTCGCTTTGCATGGTCCAAAATCTAGAAGGACAGATCAATTGAACAAAATTGCCAAGTCAGCGTTAGAAGTCTTAAATATTTAAATTAATATGTTTATATTCATGTTTATTAACTTATATTCGCTTTTATGTTTATATTTTTAAACATTTTTATTTACATGTAGATCTTATGTCGTCTTTTTTACTGTTTTCATCTAGTTTTTATGCCAGTTGTGTGGCAAGTGGTTGGAAAACTACTTTTTCACTTACGATACGATCGGTTTCAAGCTCAGCTTGCAGCATTTTATTCATATGTCATTCATATATATTTCATGATTTTTGGCATAACCATCTCTTGGTTCCAATATAATATGTAAGCGATTTTCGAAAATTTCCCCCTTAGGTCGGAACGTGCGCGGAAAACCGTTGTTCGACTTCAAACTTATATTTAGAACATGTGTTAATGGTAATGAGTGAACTTGGTTGCTAGTAATGTCTTAAATTGAAATAAAATAAAAAAAATTGTATTTTATTTATATATTCCCAATAATTTGGTGCTTCTTTTATATCAATTTTATATTTCATTACCTATAATATTTAATAACTTATAAATATATCAATATTATTATACATAAGTGCAGTGCTCAATCCTTGTTGTTCTTGGATGAATGTTGACTGCTTGGGACACTGTGCGGCCTTATTTTTGCCCTCTCTGGACTGTCAGCTTTTTCAGCTTCAAGCCATTGAAAAGTTCTCAGTTGCAACTGCAAATTA